AGACAAATTTGAGTCAGTTCTGGTCTAGGTGTTGTTTCAGCTCTGCCACCTATTAGCTCTCAACCTTGGACTGACTATTCAATCTCTCCAAGTTTTGGCTTCCTTTTCGAGAGGAGGTGCAGTGATACCATATATATCAGATATTGAGACATTTAAAGTGCTGAGCCATATTAAGGAATGATTCATTATAAAGGAAATACATTTTAGCATTTCTTGGTTGCCTATTATAAGATATTCTTGGAATTTTGGATTTTTGATCCAAGTCTTGAAATGCAGAAAAAAGTCTGATTTGAACTATCAGAAATAGAAATGCTGGAAATATAAAACATTTGATATGGTAAAACTGAAAAATCCTCAAAACTTGTGTCCAAATAAATATGCTGATTTTTTCTTCTCGTGACATGAGGAAGTTAGAGAATTGATCATGCATGCTGCATAGTAATTCCTTATATTTAATGTTGGTAGATACTTTCATTTTCCTTGAGATACATACCTTTAAGAGTACAGAAGTAGGTAATTTGATTTCTTTTGTTTTGTTTTTAAGTTTTCAAATTACATCTTTGTAATGGCAGTGTATCTCCTCCTTAATGCTTCCTTATGAATCCTGGGAGAAAGTAAGATCAGATAAGTCCAAATGGCTTCCTAGGAGAGATTCATGAATGTCTGTAGCACTGGAAATGAAAGAAGAAAGCCTGGCAAGACAGCACAGAGCAGTAATATGCATTGGAGTAGATCTAATGACCTAGCCAAGTACACTCTAACATGTGAAGCCATAAATAATAAGGAATTTCCACAAATGATTTGCTTATAATGAGTTTAAATGTTTGATTCAATCACATTAATTGGGTATATTTATCTCAAGCTATGAAGCAATATGCTTCAAAATTTGGGGTTTGCAGTGGGCGGGGGCGGAAATTGTTCTCTGCATTCTGAATGTGGAGATAAATTCTGCTCAGACACTTCATGTCTTATAGACATTTCTTCTTGGAGATGCCTTCATTTGAGGGATCTTAAAATTATAGTTCATGCTCCTAAAAATGTGAATTTGTAGCAGAGGTAGCTTGATATAGTACAGTAATTTCAGCAGTTGTTTCTCTTGTTCTTGCCAAAAAAGACCTGACTTTTGAAAGTTTTTTAACTGAATTTTATTAACTAAATAATAATTAATTAGTTTCATTTGGGTTATTGCTGGTTTTCCACTTGAGCATGAATCCCAATTTAAACCAATGATCCAAGTTTATAACAGTATTATGAAAATGCATAAATCATTAATTTAGTTGTAATGCCACTGCATAATGAAATTAAGTCAGTAAACAGGCAATAAGCATCATTTATTGCTCTGGGCAACTTCAGTTTAGTCTCATCTCTCTGCATTTTGGTCAGAATGGGCAAGATTCTGTTTGGACAGGGGTGTCTTCTGGACTTGTGGCAGATTTAGATCCACCAATCACATCCCAGAAAATCCTAGGATGGGATAGCTTGTTAGAGTGCAGTGAATCTTTTCCACAATCTTTTTGGAGCTTTGGGACAGCGCAACAGCATCAATGTTACTCTTCTGAGGTTATATAATTCCAGAGAAAGCAAAGAAAGCTGATTTTAAAATTTGTTTTCCACAACCTTACTATGAAAAAATTCTGAGTGAAGTTCTAGATCTACTGAAACTAACTTATAATGTTTGACTTTTCCTTAAGCGAAAATCTTAAGTCAAAAATCACTGGTTTAGCAGAATACAAAAAAAGAGACTAGTTGAGAACTGTGGCTGTCATCCCAACCCAATTATATAAATATACCAGGTCATCTGTGGCAGCTAGTCCCATCTCTCAGTAAGTTTAGATCCATTTAAATGTAAACAAATAGGACATTAAGCTGAAGATATCGCTTGGCCATTCCCAGCATTGAAAACATTACCCTTCCTCTGGGTGCATCCTAGAGCTGTAAATCAAGGCTGGAAGCTGTTCTTTGTTGTTTTCCAAATAGACTGTTTTGTAGGCATTTTCCCCTCCAATTATGTTTATTGAAGTAAGGTTTGTTTACATTACTTTTATTTATTTTAAGGTTTATAGATTCAAACCTCTACAAATATGGTTTTATACCAAGACCACTATGTAGGTATTTTGCTGACTGCAGATTACCTTCATTTATTTCACTGTTTTATGGAAAACCACACAGAAATGTGACCTGTCCCAGATTCCTTAAAGAACTAGGTATAGGAGGGGAAATTTCCTCTCTTACAAATAGTGTATCCTGAACTAGTTTATATTCACTTACAGTGCTCTCCTTAGGAATGTCAATCTATACTGCATAGTCAGGAGCTGTTGAAGTAATTAAAAATCTTTTCCTGCTTTTCAAATGTAGGAGATCATAATTAATAATATTTTTATTTTTTTCTCAAAATTATTTTCCTCGAAAATGTATCAGTCTCAGAATAACCCAGAGTAGTTTAAAAATGCAGACTTTCCGAAGTAAATGAATACAAATAAGTTTTTTTAGTTTTATTGATGTAACATTGCATTACATTATATAAGTTTAATTAAAAATGAACACACACACACACTGCAATAAACTCACCACTAAATGCCCAACCCTATTCTTCACCATATAGTTCACCTCTTTTACCCTATTAACCCTCCTCTCTTTTTCCTGTCTGGTAGAAACTAATTGGTCTTGTAGTCTAAACGTTTGTTTTATTTTGTTCATCTGCTTGTTTGTTTATATTCCACAAATGAGTGAAATTACATGGTGTATACCTTATTTTTGAGGTACATTCTAATTAAATCATTGTTCACTATCTAAAGGGTTGATACATATTAGCACAGATCCTTGGAATATCATGCAGAATGGAAAAGAAAAATAATTTACCAGCTTTTTGGAAATATTTATTAACTTCTCTAGCATGGTAATCAGTTACAGTAATGTATCTCCTAAAATAACTTTTATCTAAACCTCTGTTCAGCATACATTGTCTCCATTCAGTTGTCTCAGCAACACTAAGGGTAGGTATTAGTTAATTTTGTGGATGAGGATACTGAGGTTAATGGAGGTTTATCAAAATGATTTGCCAAAATCCTCACAGCTAGTGAAGTAATGGGGGCCGGTCCTTTTTCCTATAGTAGCATCCATATTTGAACCGCCATCTATCTTACTGTATTATAACTTCCACTCTATTCTACTTGTCCGTGATGGAAAGACTTCCAAACAATCATGGTTTCTTTCTACACAGGCTCCTGGTATCATTTCTCATTGGCCATGTGGCAATGGAGAACAAGTCAGACTCTTCTGTGATGGCGATCAGCCTCCCTGCTGCTGTTGCTCCTGCGGCTTTCACACTGGCTGTTGTGGCTCTTGGTTGCCTGTGACCTTGACATCTATCCTTACCATCTCAGCTTTCTTTAATCACACTCTTTTTCTTACCACAGTTGTTTGAGGACTAGTCATCTGTCCTTTGAGTAGTGCTCTCACAAGCCTTTAGCCTCCTGAGGACTAAGAAGGAAGGCTCTCAGAAGTGGGTGACATTTGGAAAAGTAGGCAAAACAAGCCCAGTTATTTCTGGCCACAAGAAATTCAGTGATCCTGATAAGATAACAGAATTCACTTGTGAAATGATTCTGAGACTGGAGAAAGGGAAGTTTTGCTTTCCTGTTCTTGGGAAAGCTCACCATTACACCTTTCAAGTTAGAGCTTAGATGGTGTTTCATTGGCATCAGCAATAACTAGGCTAATTTGTTTGGATGTGAGAGCTGTGATTTAATATTTAATGAGAAATTTATAGCATTGATCCTCATCTCAAGCTTAATAAATGAACTCAATTCAGATGAGGTGTTCACTTTGCTGTCATTACCTGGGGCTTTGGATAACTATAGAACCCTAGTGCTTTTTGCCTCCTCACTAGCCTCATTTGTATTTTGCTGACATTATTTTAGCCTTTAAATTTAAGAGGAACTGAGCTAAAGCATCTGATGCCCACAAAGTAAATATGGTGTCTTGAATGTTTAGAAATACGAGGTTTGAATCTCAGTATTCACATAATGTCTTTACTAAGTGGGCAAATTTTTAGCAGTGTTTTGAAACCTGACTGTGGAAGTGTAGTCCCTGCCATGACATCGTTGAGATGGACAGAGTCAGCGTGGGTGACATGGTCCTTGAATTAGAACACAGAGGTGCCCAGGGCATGTGTTTCAAGTTTCTTAAGAATATTAAAGTCCTCTAAGTACTAACGTTCTCTATAAATGTATACTTCCATCCATATGTCTTCTAAATTTTTTTGAAAAATATGTTCAATTATGTTGAACTGATTTTGTGTTGCTTAATTTGAATATTAATATTTTAGACCTGAAGCTTTGGGATAAATTAATGATTGCCCACAATCAATAGTGAAACACTTACAACATTAGTTATGTCTTTATTTAATGGTATAGTGAGTATCCATAAGACACACTAAACCCTAAAACTATTTCACTAACAACTTAAATTTACCTGTGTGTTTCTTCTTCATATTTTCCTATTATCTTGCAGAAGTAATCACTATTTTGTTTATGTTTATTGTTTCCACTATTTAAAATATATGTGTGTATGTATATATAAAAAATATATATGTGTGTGTTTTCCCTATATATTTAAACATTGTTTTTGAGCTTAAAAAGAATCATACCATGTGTGGTGTTTGGGACTAAGTATTATGGCCCCATTTAAAAAATACTAATAGGTAAATTTGAATTACATGAAAGCTTGAATAAGTGTGTTTGTGTGAAAGATAACCCAAAAAGGAGGCATGTGCTGTCAAAGTAAGTTTGCCTCAGCCACAGGCTGTTTCAGACTCCTGGCCCCTGTTGGGTTTTACAATAGCAACCAGCATCACTGTGATCAGAAGCAGCAGCAGAGCAACTCATTTTTGCCGGCACCCACTAAATACCAAGCTTTATGTTAGGATGACTTACTTTCATTTTCATTTGGTTCTTCTATCTTATAAGGAAAGGGTTATTGTATTTATTTCTGTTTTACAGATGGAAAAAGTATGACTCAGGACAGTAATTTTCCACCACCATACAACTAGCAAGTGGAGGAACCAGATTCAGAGGTAGGTGGTCTGAACAAGAGCTGGTTCTGAAAGGAGAGAGAAACCTCCAGTCAGCCACAGAACCCACTTCAGGGCATCAAGTCTCTTTTTTTTTGTTTGTTTCATCACCCCTGCCCCTTATCATCCCCCCTCCTCCTGATCCTACTGGAAGGTCAGCTTACTTCCTCATCGATACAATTGGGCATAATGGTAGAAAGGAAAAAGAAAGGGGTGTGAGTGTGTGTGTGTGTGTGTGTGTGTGTTTCTCCCCTACAATCTAGGGCATCGAGTCTCTTACCTTCGAAAGAGGAGGCCTTGCTAGGAATTGATGCAAGTAAAGACCCATCTCCCATTTGGTTTGGGAGGGACCGTGTAGCTGAGAAAACGCTAGACTGAGAGTCCTGTGTCCTAGATTTTGGTCTCAAGTCACTAGTCAGTCTTAAGACTTTGGTAAGTAATTTAACTCTTTGAAACACTGTTTCTTTCTTCACACAGGGTTAAAGATATCTAAACTATCCATTTCTACTGAATAGTTATTAGGATCAATTGATATAATGTGTGTGAAAGTTAGGAAATATAAAATTCTTTACAAATATTCAGTGGAGAGAATGATGACTAAATTATTTGTATTGAGATAACTGGGATTTTTATGTCAGGCAAAGATGTTTTGTAACCTTTTCAACACCTTCTTTTCCATCCATTCAGCTTTCATTCTTTCGTTTTATGATTTCTTTCCTCTTTTTCCTACCAGGTCATATTAAAAGATCTTACTGGGGTGGGATGTGGAGGGAGAAGAGAATCCTGAGAATACTAACAAAAGAGGGAAGGAATTCAGGCTGTCACTGAGATACACGACTCAGATCAGACCTTAGCCTGATATAAAGTTATTTCTCAATCAGTAGCTTTCCTGATGTTAGCAAAAAGTAAAGACACCTGAAATTCAGATTGCTTTTTTTCAACCCTCAAATGCCTATGGAGGTTTCCAGCTGTCTTCGAATCATACCATGTGGTGGTTGGAATTTCAAGTGCTTCTCCGGAACCCCCTACCTGCAAACTGTGGGCAGCTTCCTCTTGGCACCACGTCAGTGTAATTTGTATATGCTGATCTCCTATCGCCTGGGGAGTGAATGATGGAATATTCATGCTGGTGACCATTCATTTTCCCTCTGTGAAAAACCTCTGCTATCATCCTCTTGAAAAGCAGTTATGGAATTCTCCTGCTGCTTTTGTGAGAAAAAAAATCACACCCAAATAGAGTCCAGAAAATCCATTTTCTAACTTGAATCAGATGCTTGGAGTGGATCCTAGTTGAAGCTACGAGCCTTTCCTGTGATCCTCTTTTGTTGGTTTCAACCCCCAGCTGAGGACATGCTTGGCTTTCTGTTCCAGGAGCTTTGTCTTACAAGTTAATAAGTTTGTCAACTCAAGTGCAATGCCGGGGTTTATATCTCACTTTCTAATATCATAAGACTGATATTTGGATGTCTTTGAAGGACAATTTAGAATGTCTGGATTACTCTAAAGGTGTCTCATTAAAAATTACAAGATCAAAATCACAGAAATTAAGAATCAATTTTGAATTAGTAAATTTGTCCCTCAGATTGAAAACAACCTGATCTGTCATCATTGCTTTAATGTGTTTATAGTCTCAAGGGAAACTTGTTAACCCATGTTCAGCAACTTGCAAACCCACTGTGGTCTAGCACCATTGCTCTTGAAATTTCACCTGCCACCTCAAACAAGTATTCAAGGGAAGCACAGCTAGGATTGTGCTGTGTGTTTTCTGCAAGGGTCACATATCAGTTTGGGTTTCTGAGACAAATATCTGGATGGTGATAGCATATTAGGGAAATGATCCTAAAATCTAGGACTGAGGTAGAAGTAAAATGACCAAAGGGAAAAGAATAAGCTAACAATAACAACAATAATAAAAGGTGAATTACTGACATGGCCACCGTGGGGTGATTGGATTCAGTCCCATCACAGTCTCTGCAGGAACTCTACCTCCAAAGGACAAGATTTTAGGTCAAGCATTCCCTGAATCCTCTCCCCATTGTTTAATGGTGACCTCCAAGAACGTGAACCACCTTTTCTCTGGTTGCTTGTTCACATGAGATGATACAATCCTGAACTTTGGAGGAAGCCCTGTGACAGAAAAGTATAGAGAAATTGTAGAACATAAGTGATGTGGGTCTTCATCATGTGAATGCATCTTGTCCATGGAAACCTACAGCTACCCAGAAATAAGAGGTGGCTTGAGGGGATGTGATGGTGGCTCCCAAATGATCTGCCACTGTCCCAAAAGCTCTTCAAATAAGGGATATTCAGATTATCCCCAAGATGAAAGGGCAGTGAGGGGAGAGAAAGAAAGCAGTGCAAGAAGTAGAAACTGCCTAGGAAGGAGGTAGAAGTAGAATGAGTAGCAAAGTAACTTAGATGGGAGAGGCAAGGTTCAAGGTCATGTGTAATATACACACCCACTGGGGGTGTTCACCACTCCCCATCATGTATATCTCTTTTCCCTGCTCTACCTTAGCCATGCTCCTGTCTTAACTTGGAAACCTCTCTTGCCAGCAATTTCTCTGTACAAATCCTGTTTGACCTTCACAGCATCAAGATCCTCCCTTGATGGTTCTTCATTTGGCACACTTCATAGCCAGGATAAATCCCTCCTTCTACATTCTTAAATACTATAGTCAATTCATATTTTCATTTATTTATTCATCTACTCAACAACTATTTATTGACCACCTAGTACATGCTTGGCATATAGACTATTTTTCATTTGAATTAATTATATCTTATACTAAACCTTCTGAATCAAGGGCTGTGTCTTAGATCTCCATGGCATTCATCCTCAAACTATGGTTCATAGACCAGCAGTATCAGTATCCCCTGGAAATTTGTTAAACATGCCATTTCTTGGTCTTATGTCAGAAGTGCTGAATCAGAACCTCTGGGGTGAGCACAACATTCTGTTTTATTAAGACTTCCATGTGATTTTTGAGGTTCACAGTATTTTAAGAATCAGAATATCCCCTCTATTTGACCATAATAAATAATCAATACATTTTTGTTGATTCGGATTAGATTTCATAGGCTGGTTGGAAGTCCTGATCTAAGCACTTTGGTTCTTAGAAGTAATGAATTCTTTTTGAATGCAAAGGCTCAAATGAAAACGGACCCTTCCATGTACCATAAAAATGATGCATTCACCCACGAGGCAGTGGGCAGCATGGGCTATTCTCAGTTAATATGCCACAGAAGCATTTAGATAGAGTGCTGGACTGCTAGCAAGAGTAAGCTGCTCTTCTGCCCTGTCCCCAGCCAGAGGTCCCTAGGACCACATGCCTGTCTAATGTGAATGACAAGGTCTGTATGGGTCAGTGCTTCCTTGGTGTTCTTTGTGCCCTGCCAATCAGTAGGAGGGCATATCCAGTTGATACACGGAAAAGGGTGAGCCCTGCGGAGGGGGAGAAGCACTTGGGTGAGTCTTAAACCTCAAGCCTGTCATTCTCTGGTTGGAGATCAAGCTCTTTGAGCAATTGCGTCAAAATGGGTGATTGATGATGCCACTTGTCAGTGTCCCAGGAAGTCCGGGTTTGTACCCAGGCTCTTGAAAAACAAGATCTGGCCCTACCAATTGCAATGTTTTCTCTCCTATTGCAACTCTGGCTTCACAATCCCTTTGTGCCAGGGAATGGGAAACCACACAACTTTTCACACCCTCACACCATTTATGACCCATTTTACAAAGTATGTCAAAGATGCTTTATAAATGAGAAGCAACTGGAAAAACTACAATAACCTTTGTAGTTTCTAGGACAAAGGTCAGGGAAGAACAGGCACTTTCTCCTGAGTCATAGGTTGGGAGGCTGCTTTGCTGTAGCAGAATATGTCTCGTAGTTGCTGCTGCACCGGCGACCCGATGATGCATTTTGGAAAATCTACAGGAGCGCTGCAGGGGGCATGTCCTGTGGCTAAGAATGTTGCTTTCAATCACGACTCTTGGCATCTACCACCAGATGGAATCATAGCAATCTGTAATCATTTTCAGAGGCCATTTCTATCCTCTGCCTGGGAAGGGAGATTCCATAAAAAGGCAGAAACAGTTTACCAGTAGATGCAGGTGGTAAATCCTCACCTTCTTGAAGAAATGCCTGGTGGGGCCAGGGGAACAAATAGCTAAAATCAGCCAGGGGCAGTGCTTATTTTGCCCTGTCATCCCTCTTAGAAAAACACTTAACATCTTTCTCAGAAAGGAATCTCTGTACTCCCTTGTCCCTGTTAGTTAACTGGGTTGTATTGTGTCCTCAGATTTGTGGTTTTCATGACAAGATAAATTAATCTTTACTAGCAGATGCACCCCAAATGCGGTACTCTTTCAAGTCAGTTCAGTAAGAATTAATTGAGTCCTGCTACATCAATGGTTTTCAAACTTCAGTGTGCAAAAGGAAGTTTAACTAGAGCATACAGAGAAAACAGAACAAGTGAAAATTTATTAAAACAGAGTCAGCAGACTCTACTTTAAATAACTGAAGTTTAATTTTGATAGGAGGTGGTGGTGGGACTGGGGTGGGGTGTACTTAAAAGGCTTGATAGCTGGAACTTTAATCCAGGTGAACCTAATGCAGTCTTTATATCAGACAGTGAGGAACCATGTATTAAATGACCATTCTTTTAATGGTGGTCACCTATGTCCAAGGGGAAGACTCTGCTAGCATATTTCCACATTGTTGTAGGCTTGAAACCTATAGAATGTTGTTAACCAATGTTACCTCAATACAAATTTAATTTTTAAAAATTCTCATCCTACACTTTCTTAGAATACTAATTTGACTGATTTTCTGCCTAACTCTGAATTGCTTGCTCACAGTGTCTTTGAGCTCATCTTCCTCATCTGGCACTCTGAATATCGGAATTCCTCAATGCTGTGTTTTAGATTCCTTCCTCTTCTCATCCTCTGTGCTTCTCCAGGGCAATATTATCAGTTATATCCATTATCTCCAATAATCTAACTT